CAGTGATCAGACAGTTCTATATCTATTTTAATCCATTTATATCGATATTTCAAACACATACCACATGCACCAACCAAATTTAGTTAGTGCCACTTATGTATCGTTTTTCGTAAGCAAATATCGATAAGCATTCAACATCCCTAGAATTAAGCTGCTTGGTAGCACTTTTTCGCGTGTGTTTGGAGGGAAGTAGTCCGGTGTCTGATACATTGCTTATTTTCGATTAACTTACACAAATCTGGACAAGTAAAACTTAAAAAAAAAAATGGTAAGTAGCTAAAATTGAGTAGCAAAATGATGAATGAACTATTGTATTGTATTACTTACAGTCCTCAACAGATATAGCAATGGAATCTAGCGCTGAGCTTGAGAGCGCGCCCGGTGCAGGTCCCGCAACTGTCGGAATTGCCAACACGAACAATGTATTAAAGAAACTTGCCCACAGCACCGCCAACAGTGGCGGTGTTGCTGGTGGCGTATGTAAAGGATCTCCTGGCGATGGTGAAGCGACTGGCAACGCAGATGAGATGACTTCAAGGGACTATTACTTTGACTCATATGCCCATTTTGGAATCCACGAGGAAATGCTTAAAGATGAGGTCAGGACCGTCACATACCGCAACGCAATGTACCACAACAAACATCTTTTCCAAGGGAAGGTAACGTATTGAAATTGCTGTGTGCATTATAAAATATGTAGTTATATTAAAAAAAAAAAAAAAAACATATATATATAATATACATTTGTATATGTTTTAGACTTGAATATGTTCAATTCCAAACCGTTTAACCATAAAATTATTTGCAGACTGTTTTGGATGTTGGATGTGGTACCGGCATTCTGTCCATGTTTGCTGCTAAGGCCGGCGCTGCCAATGTCATTGCTGTAGACTGTTCCAACATTATAGAGTTTGCTCGACAAGTGATAATCGACAACAATTTACAAGATATTATTACTGTAGTCAAGGGTAAAATTGAGGAAATCGAGCTTCCGAATGGAATAGAAAAAGTTGACATTATTATTTCGGAATGGATGGGGTATGTTGTATGGGAAACTTATATTAACTGTCATTTATAATGGCTCTATCGTCAACTACAGGTACTGCCTTTTTTATGAGTCTATGCTGGATACGGTGTTGTATGCGCGCGATAAATGGCTAAAGCCCAATGGCATGATGTTCCCAGATAGGGGTACACTTTACATCACAGCTATCGAAGATCGCCAGTATAAAGACGAGAAGATCAATTGGTGGGACGACGTATATGGCTTTGATATGAGCTGTATACGGAAAGTGGCTGTTACCGAACCACTTGTTGATGTTGTTGATCCAAAGCAAGTAGTTTCTACTGCATGCATGGTGAAGGAGGTTGATTTGTACACAGTGCAAAAAGCCGATTTGAACTTTTCTTCGAAATTCAACCTTACCATCAAGCGTAATGACTTTGTCCAAGCTTTGGTTACATATTTTAATATCGAGTTTACCAAATGCCACAAACGACTTGGGTTCAGCACTTCCCCTGATTCCACATATACACATTGGAAGCAGACTGTCTTCTACTTAGATGATCACATAACTGCCAAAAAAAATGAAGAGATCAATGGAACGTTTCAAATGAAACCAAACGAACGGAACAATCGGGATTTGGACTTTGTCATCGACATCAACTTCAAGGGCGAGCTATCTGAAATCCAGGAATCAAATACATACCGTATGCGTTGAATTCATGCCACTTTATTAATGCGGTCCTAGAACTGCTGCCCTCTTAAGCTAGAGGTAATTAAAATATGATGACTAGACGTAAGATATAATCCAGTGCGAAATGTGCAACGAATTTGTGTTGCGTCTTCTACTAAGTTTAAAGTGTACCTTTTTAGTATACATACATTATATTTTTACAAGTGCGCCTGTTTTAATTATGATTCAAGAATACTTCTAAGACATTTGTACAGTGGCACATTAGGTCTCACATGAAAACAAAATAAAGAGTGCGGTATCCACACAATTTTACTGGACCTTCTAGTTTTCTTTGTCAAGAATTTTGTGTATACATATACAAAATTAAATAAGGTTCCGAGTAGCTTCTTTCTGCCTTAAATGTAAGCATTCCCATTCTAAAGAATTACATTTGTTAATTGTTGGATATTCAAAACTATACGATAATTACTCGTTTCGAACTTTAAAGACATTGAATCTTTGGATTGCAACGTTGAAGCTTTAGCGTAATATATTCTTATAGGTGTAAAAAATTATGATTCTCGATCGGATTAACAGCATATACTACCCCAATTATAGAAGTTACTTGGAAATCGCTTTGGGTTGAATTTTATATTTTCTTTTTATACCCTGAACCCGTTGAAAATGGTAAATCAGGGTATAATAGTTTTGTTAAAATGTATGTAACAGGCAGCAGGAGGCGTGGCAGACCCCACAAAGTAGATATATTCTTGATCAGGGCGACGAGCTGAGTCGATTTGGCCCTGTCCGCCCGTCCGTCTGTCCGTATGTGTGAACGCGTCGATATCAGAAGATATAAGAGCTAGAGACCAATTTTTTTTTAAATGTCCGTATATACAGCGCGCAACCTTATCGAGGATCATTTATAAAATGATGTCTCCCACATCTTTAAAGCTAGAGTCTCCAAACTCAAAATGTATATTAAAATGCATTTTATACTATTTCGATTTTTGTTAAAATTTACCCCCACCCCTATATCCACCCCCTCACCCTCATAATTGTAAAAGACTTGTGCTTTGGAATGTGCACGCATTTGAACATTATGATTAAGTTCTGAAAGTTTCATTAAGATCGTACGTCTAGAAATTAAATTATTCAACAAATCTCATAATACTGCCCGCACTGCAGCGCAGCCCAAGCGCAGTCGCTGCTTACTTCGCAGTTAGCAGAGCGCGGGCCTCTGCGTGCGTCTGGATGCATGTATGTATGTGCATAAAAGAAGTACATAATGATTAGAATATCAGAGTGGACGGTTCAGGGTATCTCCTAGTCGAGCAGTCTCGACTGGAGCTTATACATTTTTTAGCCCACTGAATTGTGTCGATTATTGATGTTTGTCCACTGAGAATTGATAACATTGAACGCCCTCAGTGGAATTTACTTGTAAAAATAGAGATTATTCCCTTTCGTTTTATCTGAGATCGATTCTAGATAATCATGTCTTGCTATAAAGTTTATTTCTGCCTCCTAAATTTATTTGTAGATATACCTAATTATTACATTTCGCAAATATGATGGGATAACAGATACAAAGAATATTCAATGTAACTTTACCATAAAAATATTATAAAAAATATTTTCAAAGTTACTAAACGAATATATACGTAATACGTTTTTTTTTATATTAAAAAATTTTTATTGCAATCAGTTAAGTGTCGTTTTGGGGACAAGAATAAAAACGAGCATAATTTAAATTTAGATAGGTATAATTTTAGGCAATAAATGTAATTATGTGAATGTATTAATTGAGATAATTGATTTCATTATTTTCAATATCGTTCACGTGATTCTGAACGAGTTCTCCTATCTCTAGAAAAACTTCGAGGTGTCCGGGAGCGCCTTGGAGAACGAGATCTGAAAAATGTCCACATAAGGTTAGTTTATAAACAAGATACCACAAAAATCGAAATTATATATAATACATATAAGTCTACATCTAAAATTTGGAATCTCTAGCTCTAAAAGTGTAGGAGATAAAATTAAATAACTAGCTGTCGATAAAGTTTTTAATCAATAATAAAATATCAAAAGTAGTTATTGATTTTTAGAGAAAAACGTGCGCATGATATACACGGACCTGGGAAATACAAGTAAGAAAACTCTAGTCGAGACTGCTCGACTAGGAGATACCCCGAACCCTCCAATCTGATATTCTACTCACTCTACACTTCTGTTAAACACACATACATACTACACACGCACGTATTAGAACGCGCTCTGCGAACTGCAGAGTAAGCAGCGACTGCGCTTGGGCTGCCCTGCAGTGTGGGCGAATTTATTTGTTGAATGTTTTAATTTCTAGACGTACGATCTTAATGAAACTTTCAGGTCGTAAACAAAATGGTTAAATGTGTGTTCATTCCAAAGCACAAGTCACTTTTACAAAAGTGAGGGTGAGGGGGTGAATTTAGGGGTGGGGGGTAAATTATAACAAAAATCAAAATTATATAAAATACACATAAGTCTACATTTAAAATTTGGAAGCTCTAGCTCTAAAGGTGTAGAAGATATAATTTAATAACAAGCTTTCGATGGGATTTTTAATCGATAATAAAATATCGGGAGTTTAATAAATACTCGAGAACTCGACGTACATTTACCTTAACCTTTGATTCATTTGGATTATCTTAAGACAATTGTCAAAATATCAAATACATATGAGACTATTATATATTTACAAAGATGTGGTTATATTGATATTTGGATAAAATCGTTATATCACACATCTGCCGATTTCTTTTTGTGTGTTTTATGGTTTTCTCAAATTGGATAAGCAAGCTAAGAAAATTGTTATGCAAATGTATGAACTGAGCAAGCAGACTATAATTTTTTAATTTTACCCATTCGATAACTTTATTAGCTCTATAGTACGGGAGATAAATTACAGAAAAATATGATTAAAATAAAATTATGTATCTGTAATACAAGCAATATGACGCGTATCTAGCTTAGCGTTTCTTTCTCAAATAAGTAATGCAGTTCATTTAAGATTTTCAAATATCATTACCGATATAATTTCTTATATTCAATATATAATTTAAGTAAATGTATACACTTAGTAATTGTAATTTACCACAGTTATAGTTATGCATCACATTGTCCTAAGCTTCGTCTTAGACTTTCTTAATCCCTAACTATTGATAATTTAAAAGGCGTTTTTACGTTACAATAATGCTAATAAATAGTCTCATAAGGCTGATAAATGAAAAGCAATTAGAATTCATAATTTAAGTAGCATTTATGTATGGGTCGCGTGTTGCTGTTGTTGTGCAAGGTTGAAATGCTGATATCTTGATGGTTTCAAAAATTTTGCATTATATAGACATCGGAAGTTCCGGATCGGCGATCATTTGTAAACTTGTTGGTTGATTTTGTGCTTGTGAGCATTATGGTAGAGAAGATTGGAAGAATCGCACAGGTGTTTTTGCTGTTCTTGTAGTAGTAGGAGGTAGTTCAAGAGTAGAAGGATTGAGCCTGTAAGAATGACGACTTTAGCAATTTTTTAACAACTACTCGAAGTCATCATAGAAAATACAAAAAAAAAATATGTAAGTGCACTAGTCGGAAGTACCGAGCTAGGGTTTACACCGAAGCTTCTGCTGATGTTTAAAACATGATCGGCTTTCTATACAAATAAATAAAAATTCAGATAAAATTGGTCACTGCAATGCAAGGTTGAAAACAGGAATTATATGACACATGTATATATCAAATAGCAAGAGATATCAGTTCCAAATTCATAGGAATATTGGAAACAGATATTAAAACGTTGACCGAGTCATTCTGAGTAATTTTATTTCGCTTAAACTTTTATCGTTCAAAGCCCATGACAAAAGCTGGGTGATTGATATTTGAAAATAGAAGCGCATTTTGCCGTGAGGACATTAATAGTAGTTCAAAATTTAAATATATATAGTCTGCAATGAGCTGAATACTTTTTGCCCAAGTAAACAAGTAATTTTATAAAGATATATACGTTTATTGCATCTTGAATGGGACTATTATTTGTGTTTCATACGATTTATCAATAATTTACCTAAGTCGTCCTCCACTGCGTCCGCCACTACTGGAGCTACCTTCAGCGGCGCCACGCCGAGATCGATCACGGGAGCGTCCTGAAGACATTTCTACACGGATTCGAGTGCCACAACAACGCGTTCCATCTAGTGCTCGGGTAGCATCCTCTGCGTCTCTTCGATCTTCGAACTCAACGAATGCAAATCCAGGAGGATTGCGTGCTATCCATACGTTTTTCAATGGACCATATTTGCTAAAGGCATTTTCGATCTCATATTTTGACGCCGATGATCCTAAGTTTCCAACATACACTTTACAGGCCAAATCCCATTCACGATAACGCGTCATATTGCTTGATCGAAAAAAAGTAACGCAATTAGTTAAATTAGCAACGACAGAAATTACTTATCACGCATTGGATACATTGGATCCTTTTATATTGTGCCACTGACCACCACTGTGTTTGGTCACTGATTGTGCCTAATATATACATATTTCGAGCAAAATCAAAATTACTTAAAAATACGCAACATCATATAGGTACTCTTAACACACTGCAATTGTTTTTTAGATATACCTTTAAGGTCGGTAACACAAAACAAGATAAAATAATAATAATCACAAAATCGAACTATGTATGTCAATAAACACAATATACCTATGTACATACATACATACATATGTACATACTTAGCTGACAAAAGAATGGTTCAGGCAAAATTTTTATTTTATTATCTATAAATATATAGTAATGTAATTGGATTAAGTATGTTCTAAGCACTTAATATTGTAGTAAGCTTCTCACCCATCAACAATTAAAAAAAAAAAAAAAACACGATAAATAATATCACTGACCAGTGATAATATACAATTTTCAGCGAAGATGCCAGACTGTCACTATTAGTGTGACCCTAGATAATAATAAAAATATATTAATTTTGCATAATTACAAAATAGTTCTTACGTTGAATTTTTTCTGTTATGTGTGTTTTAAAAATATAAGCAAATTCATTTCTTTCTTTTATATAGTTATTCCAATAGAGAATTGTAATTGTTATATGAATTTCCCCACTAACCAGAGTTAGTGACTTGGTTAGTGATTTTGCCTAAAGATCTTGTATAACTGCAGCCCTCGTTTCAAAGAAAAAGTATCGAGTGTATATCGATATACATATAAGAAACCTAAGGGAGAGTCAGCTGGGAAAATTTCATAACCTGGCATCGTGGGTGTGTGCTTGTTTAAATTGAAAACTCTTAAAGAAAAATGAGGATTACAAATAAGCTATATGCACAGCATATTGGATGGCATTTTAAGAAGCACTGGCAGGTGCAAGGGAGACGTGTGCCCAGGGATACAGGTGCTGCTGCTGAGCTTTTAAAGATGGGAATTCAAGTTAAAACACCTGACGAACTGTTAAATGAAAAGAAAGAGTTCCAACTGTAAGTAAAATTGATTCATGAAATAAATGTTTACCTATTTAAAAAAAAAAAAAACATATATACGCTTAGGGTTGATATTGTTGAAACAGTCCCAAAGCCAATCGCTGAGGACGAAAATCATCCGAATTGGCATACAACTGCGTGTCATATGTTTAAGGACAACAACGTTCTACTTGGAGGATTGCAACAAGCACAGGTTCTAACAAATACCATAGAGATAAATAGCTTCCCACAACAAATAGAGGACGCAATTTCAAATGGCCAATATTCTAAGGTTGTAGATCGTAATGTTCAAAATGCAATTTTCTCATCTCATTTGCTGGATGCGCAGCAAGTCAAATTGCCAAAGATAAAACTTATTGACAGACCGGCATATAACCTACCGCGCCTCTACGGGATCTCTCACGAAAGACGAAAGTACGTACCAAACATTTGTAAAATATTTAAATTTGTGTATGTTGTAAATATGTAAGCAAGAGGGAAACAACAAATCCATTTGCAGTATTTAATCAAATATCTATATATTTTCATCATATATAAAACCTGCCTGCATTAACCTACAACAATACTTTATACCATAGTAAATATTCTACTTTTCCACTTAGTTCTTAAAACGGGCATGCCATAATTATCATGAATGAAAATGTCACATAGACTTCTTGGATTATACATACATATGCATAGCTTATAAGTTCTGTGTGAAAAGTGTCAATAGTAAAGATTATACTCATTCTCGAAAGTGAAATATGTATGTTGGTTTTGTGCAATGCCCGTCTTGCTGTCCGTCTGTCCGTATGAACGCAATTGAAGCTAGAGACTTGATATGTCCGCCCACAGGGAGGTGGCAATTCCTCAAATTATATTGTTAAGCCCCTTTAGGGGCTACGTTCTTGTTTTAATATCTGTTTGCGGTTTGATTTTATATGAATCCATCCTTCTGCAGTCGTCTCGTTATAAACAAACTCTTGTTTGAAATCGAGAAATTAGCTGGAAGGTCTGTAAATGTTAAACGGAAGCTAATGGATAATGTAACATTTCAAACATCATTATCCAAAGATAATGATTTGCTCAGCTTTATACTTAGCGGAGATAAATTAATAAGCTCTTCTCGGGCCTTGGACGCTGTCAAGGGGAAATTTGATGGCGAATTACCCGATTTGTACCCGATGAAATGTGTAGTTTCAATACCAAAACGGCATATTTATACGGAAAACAACTTCTATCGTAAGTGAATTTCTTGTATTTTATTAAATGATTATATAACAATATTCTTTTTTATATTTAGCTATTCGGTCTGAAATAAGCTGCTCACATCCCCATACAATTGTGTCTTTCTTTGATAAAGCAATTGTGGGCAACATACACGGATCCGATGTATCGAAAACTCAATTCTATGGACGTTCTATGCTTAAAGCTTTTGTGGCAGCTGCTGCTCGTGCTAAACAAATTAACGGAATCACTTTCTGTTCGGATCTGCAAAAACCTGTTGTTGTACAATGCGTCCATACCGACGGACGAGAGTTTCATTTTGGAGTATTTCAACTTAACACGCTTAATCTGGACTCGACTAATACAACGAAAAACTATTGGTTCCATCGAGGCAGTATAGAAATGTTTAATAATTGTTCTTATAAAACTGGTAGACCACATATAGATGGGTATAACAGCGAACCTTTTCGTATTTTAAATGCCTTTTATAATAGCTCTTAAAATATACAACTTTTCATTCAAGGAAATAAAGTTGGATATACTAAGTTTATATCAAGTTATTGACATATATTTGACTCCTACTTAAAGTAGAATCCGTTTTTATACCCTGAACCCATTGAAAATGGGAAATCAGGGTATAATGTTTTTGTG